ACAAAGACCGAGGCCGGGCGCTGTGACCGTGGGGAGGGGCCCTGGGCTCTCCAGGCCCAGCACAGACATTTCCCTGCCCGCAGTGAGAAAATCCCTGAATCGGAGCCTGGGGTTGCTTTGATCTCCATCCCTCCTCGTACTAGTGGACCCCAGCCTCGGACTGCCAGGATCTCCCCTGGGCGAGCGTCTTGCCTTCAGCAGCCCACTGTGGTAGTCTGGCCCGTAAGCTCATCTGTTTGATGAGACTATGATGGATTTTGTACCAAGAATGCCTTGTGAGGGACCATCCGAAAACCCATAATCTGCTGATCATCATTGTCCTGGGGAAATACGCCTGGTGACATCGCACACCAAGTTGTAAGGTTCTGGTATGTGACATTACTGAGGCCCCTTCCACGCACAGAAAGCAGGCCCAAGCCAGTCCCTCGGAGACACAGGGCAAACTGATGCCTCAGCTAGATGCCAACACAGTCAAATGGCCTAGCCGCTTGCTTACGCGGCGATTCTTTGGCAGAGCAAAGGGTGAGTGAGAAATGTGCGTCTCAGCAAAGAAACAGCGGGAGACCCCATCCCCTGGACTCGCCGTGTCCCGAGCCCCAGCGGGGGACCCCTGTCCCCGGACTTGCCGTGTCCTGAGCCCCAGCGGGGGACCCCTGTCCCCGGACTTGCCGTGTCCTGAGCCCCAGCGGGGGACCCCTGTCCCCGGACTTGCCGTGTCCTGAGCCCCAGCGGGGGACCCCTGTCCCCGGACTTGCCGTGTCCTGAGCCCCAGCGGGGGACCCCTGTCCCCGGACTTGCCGTGTCCTGAGCCCCAGCGGGGGACCCCTGTCCCCGGACTTGCCGTGTCCTGAGCCCCAGCGGGGGACCCCTGTCCCCGGACTCGCCGTGTCCCGAGCCCTAGCGGGGGACCCCTGTCCCCGGACTTGCCGTGTCCTGAGCCCCAGCGGGGGACCCCTGTCCCCGGACTCGCCGTGTCCCGAGCCCTAGCGGGGGACCCCTGTCCCCGGACTTGCCGTGTCCTGAGCCCCAGCGGGGGACCCCTGTCCCCGGACTCGCCGTGTCCCGAGCCCTAGCGGGGGACCCCTGTCCCCGGACTTGCCGTGTCCTGAGCCCCAGCGGGGGACCCCTGTCCCCGGACTCGCCGTGTCCCGAGCCCTAGCGGGGGACCCCTGTCCCCGGACTCGCCGTGTCCCGAGCCCTAGCGGGGGACCCCTGTCCCCGGACTCGCCGTGTCCCGAGCCCTAGCGGGGGACCCCTGTCCCCGGACTCGCCGTGTCCCCAGCCCTAGCGGGGGACCCCTGTCCCCGGACTCGCCGTGTCCCGAGCCCTAGCGGGGGACCCCTGTCCCCGGACTCGCCGTGTCCCGAGCCCTAGCGGGGGACCCCTGTCCCCGGACTCGCCGTGTCCCGAGCCCTAGCGGGGGACCCCTGTCCCCGGACTCGCCGTGTCCCGAGCCCTAGCGGGGGACCCCTGTCCCCGGACTCGCCGTGTCCCGAGCCCTAGCGGGGGACCCCTGTCCCCGGACTCGCCGTGTCCCCAGCCCTAGCGGGGGACCCCTGTCCCTGGACTCGCCGTGTCCCCAGCCCCAGTGGGAGACCCCTGTCCCCGGACTCGCCGTGTCCCCAGCCCTAGCGGGGGACCCCTGTCCCTGGACTCGCCGTGTCCCCAGCCCCAGCGGGGGACCCCTGTCCCTGGACTCGCCGTGTCCCCAGCCCCAGTGGGAGACCCCTGTCCCCGGACTCGCCGTGTCCCCAGCCCTAGCGGGGGACCCCTGTCCCTGGACTCGCCGTGTCCCCAGCCCCAGCGGGGGACCCCTGTCCCCGGACTCGCCGTGTCCCGAGCCCTAGCGGGGGACCCCTGTCCCCGGACTCGCCGTGTCCCGAGCCCTAGCGGGGGACCCCTGTCCCCGGACTCGCCGTGTCCCGAGCCCTAGCGGGGGACCCCTGTCCCCGGACTCGCCGTGTCCCGAGCCCTAGCGGGGGACCCCTGTCCCCGGACTCGCCGTGTCCCCAGCCCTAGCGGGGGACCCCTGTCCCTGGACTCGCCGTGTCCCCAGCCCCAGTGGGAGACCCCTGTCCCCGCTCACCGTGCGGCGTGGGAAGAGAGGGCGTCTCGCGCAAAAGCTACGCTCTGTTCTAACAGGTGTAAGAGGGCAGTGCGGGCGTCGGCCGGGATTTCTTGCGCAAGAAACCCCAATGCCTAAAACGGCCATCAGAGCTTTCTTGCCAAGAGAGCGTCTGCGCTGCCATGGATGCTCTTGTGCAAAAGCACATCTCGCACGTGGCAGTGTGGACGTGTTCTTGTGCAAGACTTCTTGCACAAGAACCCTTGTGCAAGATTGTGACGGCGCGTTGGGGTCCCCCGTCCCCTGCACCCCGAAATGGCACAGACTGCACCAGCTGGTGGAATAGAGGAAGTTTATTGCCTCTCCAGGATACAGCACAGCACAGATGGAATCTGGTCACAGAGCTGGGCTAGGATGCCTCAGGCCCCCTTGAGATGGGGGAGACTGGGCCCCTAAACTCCAGCCCCTTCCCCTAGGCTCTCCTCCATGCTCTCCGACAGAACTAACTAAATTCCCTTCCAGCCCTGCCCCCCAGTCAGGGCAGCATTCCACCTTCCTTTGTTCCTCTCCATGGGGGGTGTCTGGCCACTGGTTCAACAAGTTTGGCATTACCTTTGCATAGTGAGGTTTTCCCTGCTGGGTCTTGCTCCAGACAGCAGGGGTCACCACAACCCAGCAAGTACCCCCACTACGTCACAGTCAGCATTCACTCGCCGCCCCGCTCCAGGGCGACTGGCGCAGGCCTGTCCTCGGGGGTCACACCCACCCTTCCGCTGGCCTTGATCTCTGGCCAGGGTCTCTCGGGCCGGGGCCATGAGCCCAGTGAGCCTTCTCTGGACAGCCAGGGCGGCTTCCACCCCCGAAGCTCCATCCAGGGAGG